ATATTTTAATGTATTAATTCTTGGTACGTATTTCATCTGAACTAGGAATTAGAACATTACCGGTAGTTTCTATTTCCCTTGTACCTGATATTTTCACTTTCCCACTCCCAGGACTGAGAATCATGAGTTTTGAATAGTGTTCAGCTGCACACATACATACAAAGTTTTGCTTGGATATGGTGCTGCTTTAAGTGCAGTTGCCACATTGCGTTAAGGAGAATGCATCACTGATTCAGTTGTCCCTTTTTCATAAAGTGGATTTCTTAATAAAGGAAAAGAGAAAAGAGAATTGAACATTTTTGAACATTGAACCTTGAACATTCTTGCTTAACTTATTTTGTTGTGAACTGCTTCTGTGAGTAACACTGTTTTAGGAAATCCCTAGTTTCTCCCCAAAGTTGACCAGTAACACTTGATCCATTACCTTCCTAGTATTTAATTCTGCTGATGTAGCAGGTGTAAATGATGTTCTGTTATGGTTTTAAATTATATTTCTCTGATGACTAATTAGAGTATCTTAAATTTATCAGTCATATGTCATTCTGTGGAATAACTGTTCTTGTCTTACACTCACTTTTCCATAGTATTTACCTTTTTCTTTATAAATCTGAGGAACTAATCTAGTTACTGTGAGGCGTGTGTTTTATTTTGTTACTTGTTCTTTTTGGTATCTCAATGTAAAGAAGTCCTTTATTTTCATTTTAATAGTTTTGTCTTCTATTTCATGGGCACATTTTGTGTTGTGATTAAGAGATCATTCAGGTTTTATTTTTTTTTCATGTGTCTTTATCTGGAATTGATTTTAGTTAGCGTATTGAAATGCAGTTGATTTTGTATGTTAATTCTATAGCTAACTGTCTTGCAATGCTGTTTTTATTTCGAGTAACCTTCCTGTACATCGTTTTATTTTCTGCAGATCATAACTATTTTCTTCTTTCCTTTCTACCCCTTTTTGATTTCTTTTTCTTTATTGACTACCTAGGCTGTGACCTCTATGGCAATATCAAAGGAAAGTAGTTATATTGGTATTCATGTCTTGCTCTTGATAATAAATGGAATACTGTAGGCATCTCTTTTTTTTTTTTTCATTTATTTTTATTAGTTGGAGGCTAATTACTTTACAATATTGTAGTGGGTTTTGTCATACACTGACATGAATTAGCCATGGATTTACATGTATTCCCCATCCCGGTCCCCCCTCCCACCTCCCTCTCTACCCGATCCCTTTGGCTATTCCCAGTGCACCAGGCCTGAGCACTTGTCTCATGCATCCAGTCTGGGCTGGTGATCTGTTTCACTATAGATAATATACATGTTTCGATGCTGTTCTCTTGAAACATCCCACCCTCGCCTTCTCCCACAGAGTCCAAAAGTCTGTTCTGTACATCTGTGTCTCTTTTTCTGTTTTGCATATAGGGTTATCATTACCATCTTTCTAAATTCCATATATATGTGTTAGTATTGTAATGGTCTTTATCTTTCTGGCTTACTTCACTCTGTATAATGGGCTCCAGTTTCATCCGTCTCATTAGAACTGATTCAAATGAATTCTTTTTAATGGCTGAGTAATATTCCATGGTGTAGACATCTCTTCTTGAAGAATGAGATACATTATAAGATTATCACTGACTGTCTGAGGGGCGCAGGAACTTTCCTTTTATTTTTAGCCCTTGTTATGAAAGCTAGCCTGTCATGAAAGACATCGAATTTTATCAGATACTTTTATGCATATGAGCAAATAAGTTGATAGACATATTAATGTTAAAATCACTCTTCTGTTGTAGTCACTTTGTCGTAATATATTACCTTTTTAAATGCACTACTATTTTCTGTTTTTAGGTATTTTGCTTTGGAGTTTCTCATTTGTGATTATAAATGAGATTTAGCCTAGGGGCCTGTATAATATTCCTTATCTGTTGTCTGTATTAATTTTGTGAATCAAGGTTATTACTGGCCTTATAGAATGAGTTAGGAGGTATTCTGTCTTCCATATTCTCTGGAAAAATTTGTGAATATTATAATCATTTTTTTTAAGCTAAAAGTTTGGTAGAATTCCCCCGTAAAAACATCTGGACATGTGGTGTTTTTGTCTAAGTTTCTAAGCTTTTTCCGTTATACTTCTTCCCAGATCTGTTTAGGAAAATCAGTTTTCTCATAATTTGTTAATTTGATCTAGTTCTTCTGTTTTATTTGGCATGAACTTTTTCAGAGCTTTTTGTCACTTTTTTTTTTTTTTTAAGTATAGTCGATTTGCAATATTAGTTTCAGGCGGACAGCATAGTGATTCAATATTTTTATAGCTTATAATACTTTACAATTATTATAAAATATTGGCTGTGTTCTCTATGCTGTAGAATATATGCTTTTTTACCACTTAATGTTTTAAATTGAATGATATTTGCTTTACAGAATTTTCTGGTTTTCTGTCATACATCAACAAGAGTTTAGTCATAGGTACACCCTGTCCTCGCCTTCCCAAACTTCTGTTCCTTCTCTTTCCCCGTCCCACCTTCTGAGCTGTCACGGAGCCCCCGTGTGAGTTCCCTGAGCCATACAGCAGATTGCCACTGACTGTCTGTTTTACATACGGTGTTATAAACTTCTATATTACTCTATCCATACACCTCACCCTCTCCCTTCTCCCCTCCCACCATATCCTTAGGTCTGTTCTCTATGTCTGTTTCTCCATTGCTGCCCTGCAGATAAATTTGTCAATACCGTCTTTATAGATTCCATATATATGTGTCAGTATACAATATTTATATTCATTTTCTGACTTTACTTCACTCTGTATAAAAGGTTCTAGGTTCATCCACCTTACTGGTGATGCAAATGTGTTCCTTTTTATGGCTGAGTAGTATTCCATTGTATATATGTACCACAACTTCTTTATCCATTCATCTGTTGTTGGACATCTGGGTTACTTCCATGTTCTAGCTAGTGTAAATAGTGCTGCTTGTTGCTTATTTATTTTATATATAGTAGTTTGTGCTCTTAACCCCCTTCCCCATTTTACCACTCTTCCTTCCCTCTCCTCATTGGTAACCACTAATTTATTCTGTGAGTCTGTTTCTGTTTTGTTTTTTATATTTCTCATATAAGTGATAACACAGAATATTTGTCTTTATCTGCCTGATTTATTTCACTAAGTGTAACACCCTCCCAGTCCATCTGTGTTGTTGCACAGTGTGAAATTTCGTTCTTTTTAGGGCTAAGTAATATTTGTGTGTGTGTGTGTGTTCCACATCTTCTTTATCCATTCATCCTTTGTTGGATACTTAGATTGTATCCATATCTTGGCCACTGTAAATAATATTGCTCCAAACACTGGAATGCTAATATCTTTTCGTATTAGTGTTTTCATTTCCTTAAATATTTACCCAGGAGTGGAATTGCTAGATCATGTAGTTGGGTTTTTGTTGTTTTTGAGCAACCTCCATACTGCACTGATTTACATTCCCACTGACTGTGTACTAGGATTCTCTCACCTCCACATCCTTGCCAGCATGTGTTTCTTGTGATCTTTTTGATGAGAGCCATTTTGACAAGTGTGAGATGATAACCTCATTAGGATTTTGACTTTCATTTCTCTGAAGATTTGCAACTTTGAGCCTCTTTTCTTGTGCCTGTTGGCCGTCTGTTTGTTTTCTTTGGAAAAGTGTTTATTCAGGTCTAATGCTCATTTTCTCATTGAATTATTTGTGTTTTTTAAAATATTGAATTGTATGAGCTGTTTATATATTTTGAATATCAACCCTTCATCAGTCAATATTATTTGTAAATATTTTCACCTCTTCAGTAGGTTGTTACCACTTCCTTTTCTGACCTTTGCTTTTTTATCAATAGTTATGGCTTTTCTTCCATTTTTAATATTAATTTCTGCCTTCCCTCTCTTTTCTTGATCTGTCACAGAAGAGATATCTTGATTCTATTATATATTTTAAAACTCTTGTTGTATTTTTGGGTTTTTTTGTATCTTTAATTTTTTTTGCCCTTGTTGTTTTCTGTTTACCTCCTCTATTCTATTATTCTTCCTTGCTTTCCTATAAAGAATATACAGCTTATAGACTTTGAACCGTTATTTCTTTTCTAATCTAAAAATAAAAAGGCATATTTTACCTTTTCCCATAAGTGGTATTTTTAGTGAATCTCAAAATTACGTTTTCAGACATAGAGACGTGTGTATTTTAAGCTTCTAATTTCATTGCATTGTGGTAAGACAACTTTGTTACTGACTTGGTCGTTGTCATTGACTTCTTGAAATTTGTGAAAACTAGCTTTATGGCTTAATTTCTGATCAGTTTTTTTTTTTTTTTTTAAGAGTAGGTTACACTTTTTTTTTTTTCCCATTTATTTTTATTAGTTGGAGGCTAATTACTTTACAACATTGCAGTGGTTTTTGTAGGTTATACTTTCTATTGATTTCTTTCTTGTGTGTGTGTGTGTGTGTGTGTGTGTGCTGGGAAATGTGATCATGCTCCTGAAGTTTAGTAACTCTCTAGCTCTTAACTGTTTCTCTAGTCCCTGACAGACTCAAAATAAATACTCAATAAGTATCTTTAAGAATAACAAATTGTTTTTATTTTTGCCTTTTTTTTCTTTTACTTAAAAAGTGTTTTTGAACTTTTAATTTTTATGTGTACAGAAAAATGGAGACCCACAATGGGCAGTTCAGTGCATTTTCACAAATTAAATGCACTCATGTAAGCAGCCCCAAGATCGAGAAAACTGATCATTACCAGCACCCCATGCCACCCTTGAACCCACACCTTTCCTGGTAAACCACTGTCCTGATTTCTAACACCACAGGTTACTTTCACCTGCTTTTGAATTTTACATTAGTAGAATCATAAAGTGTGTGTGGTTTTATGTCAACCTTCTGGTTGTGAGATCTGTCCATATTACTATATGTAGTTGTATTTCAGATACTCTCAGAACTTTATAATAGTTTTTACTTTTTCCCCACATTGTACTATTTGTTCTTGTTCCTTTGTTTGTAGAAGGAGCTGAAGAGGAAAAAATGGAAACAGATACTGATGCTCAGCAGCCTGAAAAGGTAAAATGTCAGTCTGTCTGAACTCTCCCACGATAGAAAAGCCACAGAGAGCACGGATTTTCACAGCATACCAGTTTGGGTTTATTTTGATCTTTTGAGTCCCTCTCGGGACTGTAAGTGATTCTGTCAGCCATTTTCACTTTCCTGGTTTAAGGTGCAGTTCTCATAGGACATAATAGAGGACATTTGTCATTTGTTTATTTAGTGAGGATTTATCCACTCTTCAGGTTCCCTGGTGGGTCAGCTGGTAAAGAATCTGCCTGCAACGTGAGAGACCTTGGTTCGATCCCTGAGTTGGGACAATCCCCTGGAGAAGGGAACAGCTACCCACTCCAGTATTCTGGCCTGGAGAATTCCATGGACTGTGTAGTCCGTGGGATCACAAAGAGTGGGACACAACTGAGTGACTTTCACTTTCACTTTAGTGAGGATTTATCTATCCACTCTCCCAGCTTCTGCTTCTGTAATTCTTTCAGACAGAGTTGGGGAAGATGAATACAAAAGACTATTGAAGACTTAGAACTATTGAATTGTAGGGTTTGGGTTCTGTACTTATGCCAGAGGAGAATTAGAGTATTGAGGAGTTTTCTGGGAGACTTAGCTGTCAGCAGAAAAATATTTGGAAAACTTAACACGAAGGTGACATTTGAAGTATGTTTTAAAGAGCAGGTAAAATTATAAGGCTTGAAATGAAGAATGGGGAGTCAGATATTCCAACTGTCAGTGGAGGGGGAGACACTTCAACCAGTGTGCAGAGGGCATCCAGGTGCCCAGTATGTTTGTGTCCTGATGCCTGTCTCATGGAGGCTGTAAATGTGAGGTAAGCCAAGCAGAGCAGAATTGTCATGCCTCTTCAAGATTGGGGTACAGGATAATCAGTCAGCCACTGTTTAAATGAAGCAAGGATTTAAGCTCTTGATTCCTTCTGGTGTTTTATCATTGTATATAGATAAGGAGAGGAAGGGAATCATAGTAAAATTAATGATTGTTCTTACAGCGTCTCAAATACTGTGCTTTATACTTTACATTTATGAATTAATCAAGTTCCTAAAATAGCCTTATCAAGTCAATGATAGTCTCTTCATTTTATAGATGATGTTACATAATTTGTTCAAGGATTTCAAAATCGATAAATGATGCCAGCTCCTGACCATAGAGCAATTGAAGTTTTCAGTCTCCAGAACATGATCACTGATTGCTCTGTTTTGGCTCTTCTAAGAGCCATTGCAAATGGCTGTATTGAAGAACTTTCTCAACTTTTAATTTTGGCAGCATTTCATTTTGCTCTTGGCTAATACTGTACATCTTATGTATTTTTATTCATTTTATATATTGAAATATAGTTTATTTGCAATATTGTGTTAATTTCTGTACAGCAAAATTATTATGCACATATATACATTTTTTATATTATTTTCCAATATGGTTTATTATAGCATACTGCATGTGGTTCTCTGCTGTGTACAGTAGGATCTCCTTGTACTGTGCATTTTAAATAACTTTTAGTACTTTCCCTGGTGGCTCAGATGGTAAAGAGTCCGCCTGCAATGTGGAAGACCTGGGTTCAATCCCTGGGTTGGGAAGATCCCCTGGAGAAGGGAAAGACTACCCACTCCAGTATTCTGGCCTGGAGAGTCCCCATGGACAGAGGAGCCTGGCGAGCTGCATGCAGTCCACTGGGTCGCAGAGAGTCAGACACGACTAAGCAACTAAGCATACAGACGACTAACCATGTGTTTGTTTGTTTAACCAGTAAATAATGTAAATAAGTCACAGTGACACTCTTCTGGACACTGTGTCCCCAGCATTATAGCAAAGGCGGTGGGACTGTGCTTAAGAAACATGAAGTCTCATGAGCATTCAGGAGCTGTCAATAGTGAGAGGTATTTTTCGGAATTTATTGACTTTTTTCCAGCTTTTCTCTTAAGACTTTTCGGAACCTAGTCCACCTGTTGCCAAAAATAGTGGAACCTTAGATGTTATCTAAGATAACATCACTTGTAAAAGGACCTTTTATTTCATTTTTCTCACTCTTTATCCTTTTCTTTTGTACCCCTTCCAGGCAGAAAACAAAGGGGAAAATGAAACGGATGAAGGTGATAAAGCACAAGATGGAGAAAATGAAAAAAATAGTGAAAAGGAACAGGATAGTGAAGTTAGCGAGGATACTAAATCAGGTACTTTGAGGAAACTCTTTGGACTTTATTATGTAAAACACTAAAAGCACTGGAGAAATGTGAGCAGTTAAATTGTATAGAAATAGTCCTAAAAAAAAAAGAAATAGTCCTTCATTTGCTACATGTTTCTTAACATAACAGTAAATATGGATTTGAGTTTTATTTTGCACTGAAGCACCATCACCATGCTGGTGACTGCATTGTTTTCAGCGATTCAGAGACAAACAAGTTGGCTGTGACTGAAGTCAGTACTTTTTTCTTTCCAGTTCGTTGCTGGTATGTCCCATCCTGCCTGACTCGAAAGGCTTCCAGAGGTGCCTGTTCTCGGCTTCTGATTTCCTATAGACCCTAGGATTTCCCAGAGCATCTCATTGACTGATGAGTCTTAGACCTAAGACTAAGACTGAGATCTAAAACATTTTGGTCTTAGGACTTAACTCCCCTGAATTTTCCTTTATATCCAAGGGAAACTACATAGAGAGCTCAGAGAAGACAGAGTGTGCTGTTTAGAAAATCCATCTCAAATAGAAGCCGACTTACATGCATGGAGTGGATCAACAGAAATCTTAAGGGAAAGGCACTGAGATCTCTTTGTAACATCAGTCCTAGTTTGTTATGTGGCAGAGGTGAGAAGTAAGATAGCTTATTCAAACTGGGCACACTGGTAATAAAGCTTTCTGATTTTTTCCCCCCAGAAGAAAAGGAGACTGAAGAGAACAAGGAACTCACTGATTCTTGTAAAGAAAGAGAAAGTGATGTTGGGAAGAAGAAAGTAGAACATGAAATTTCTGAAGGAAATGTAGCCACAGCCGCAGCAGCTGCTCTTGCCTCAGCTGCAACGAAAGCCAAGGTTTGCCCCTGACAGCTCTTTTCCTAGTGCTCTCTTAAGCCATGAATGGCTGTATTGTTTTGATGTTACTGGGAATATTTAGTATAGAGAGCCTCGCATCTCATAGGAGATGATTGTTTGTTTGAATGACATTTCTAGGTTAAGAATTCCATGGGCAGGAGGATGGTGAAAATAGCCAACCTGGGCCTAAATGGTGGCTGCTTTCGATTCATTCATTGTGTCATTCATTCAGTCTTCTGAAGACTGCATTGATTGAAGGCAGAATTTAAAGTCTCTCAAATGTGCCTGCAGAACTTGTCTTGGACTATAGTTTCAATAATTTCTACCAGATTGAAATATTTGTAATTTTTAAGACAAAAATCTGTTTCCTTGTATAAATACTTCACCCTGCTCTTAGAGACTGGAAGGAACAAGAAGGAACCTAAAATAGCTCTTTTTCTTCTTGAATTTGCCAGCTTTTCTGGGGGTGGTTTTCTCTATTTATAACATGGTATTGGCTTCCCAGCATATTTAAGAAGAAGAGAGAATGTTATTTTCCCTGCTTTGTGTTAAGTTAGCACTTTAAAGCTTTCCAGGCATGAATATGTCAAGTTTAAAAAACCTATTTACCCCCTTTCTATTTTACCCTCAAAAGTAGTCTCCTTTCATTATAGGTCACCACATTTTAAGCAGTGGTTACTAGGACATGGCTAATCATTTTATCTGGACCTGTTCTTGATCCATTGGTAAAGATGTTTTTAATGGTGTTTAGTTACCCAGACTGTTTAGATGTTGTAAACTGTTTCTCCAAGTGTTTAATCTGTGTGGCATGGCTTATAACATGACCCAGTTCAAACCATAAGAGCACTGTTTTGAGTGCCTGCCCATCTGATGTAGGTCAGACGGTCTTGGGGAGGTTTGCTCATGGGTCACAGAATTGTTCAGTCAGATACCCCAGCTGAGTGTTACTTCACAGTAGATTGAGGTCTTGCATATGCATACTAGCCAGTCTCTTCCAAAGATGTGTCCTGATCTTCATGGTTCTTAAGTATAATTTTAGGTATTCGCTCTTGTCTGCCACCCCCGATGTCTAGGAATTTGTGAGAGGTACTCTTGTTTAAGTGAATACTGATGGGGACAGCAATTTGACTGTTGTTTCATATTTGTTTGGTTTTGTTCTTCCTTCATTGGAAGCATTATTTTGAGTCTGTCTTCTGCCAGGTTCGACTCCTGGCTATCTCAGTGTCTCTAAGCTGTCCAAGTTATTTCTGTTCATGCTGTCATCAATTGGGCATGTTTTCTTGAAAAATGAGCCAAGCCAGGAGGGCTTCCCTCATTCGTGCCTTTGCATCGAAAGACACAGCCGTCCACCCAGTCTTCACTCAGGTCACCTTTGCATTGAAGTATAAGTTAGACACAAATAAGTAGATACATACGTCTACAACTAGTAAATTTTTTCACAGGCTGAACCCACCTGTTGACTCATAAATAGCACCCATGTCAAGCTGTATATATAATCTTACCTGCTCAGCATTAGCCTCTTCATATCCCTTCCAGTGACTGCTTCCCTTCAGAAGTAGATGCTGCCTGCCTCCTAACAAGTTACTTCTTATGAAAGAAATCATATGCAGAAAAACCTTTAAAAATACCAATATGAACGTAGTACTTTCTTAAGTAACCTCTCTGTCTCTTCAGGCTCGAACTCCTTAGGGAATTTGGGGATCTTCCCTGATCAGGACCCTTCTCAGTTCTCAAGTGTCATTTCTCGCCCGTCTGTCCTGAACTCTCACTGTCCTTTCCCATTATTTTTCCTCTCCATACTACTCTGTGTGCGTCACTCTAAGTTGCCAAAGAAGGAATTAAAGTGGTAGATGACCATAAAAAGTCTCAAAAGTCTTTCTGTGCTTTGGGCACAAACGTTTGTACCATTGACCACCTTGCCACTGCTGTTTGACTCCTTCATTACAGAGGAACTGCTCTTACGGATCAATTACCATGACCCTTGGTTAGTCCAGACAAGGTTTAGAAGAGTGTCCAAAGAACATTTTCTGTCCAGGTCACTGAATTTCCACTCCCTTATCAATCATTCACTCCTTATTTCTAATAGACTGGGAACTTGGGTCTTCATTCTTGGAACACCTATGTCTTCCACTGACTTGTGAAAATGTTACAGATGCTCACACTACATGACTTGGCACATGAATTGTTCCCTGCTACTTACAGCTTGATCTGATACATTTCACAGCACACATAATCATTTTTGTGCTACATGGTAATTAAGGAGTAAGGAATTTACTTAAATTACTGTGATTAGTACAACTTATCTAGGCTATCCAAGTTTTCTGTTGTTCTTGTTTTTGTTCTTCTGCGTCTATAAACAGCTTTGTTATTAAAGAGTTTTCCTTGATACATTTTAATTGTTTATCACACTCTGACATGGAGTGGTAATTAGAGGTTCTAGATCTAGCTCCAAAACATATAGAGTGGGCATGCTTTCCCCATCTTTGCCAGATGAGGGGTTTCTGGGTAGCAAGATCCACTTTTTCATTCCACCTGCTGACAAGCTGTGGGCTAACTCACCTAAAGAGCAGTGTGTGGGTGTGAGAAAGCACTGCTGGCTTAGTGCTCCCCCTGCTTTCCATCTGGGTTTAGGTGGAAGAAACCGTCCAGAACTACTGCTGAATAAACTTAGAAACTCCAGAAAAGAGAATATGTCCTCCTTTATCAGTAGCAGGATTCAGTTCTCATAAGATAGCAGAAATCACATAGACATTTACTTCAGGGTTTTTTTCTGCTACCATGCCATCTCCACCTACTTTAAAAAGGATATTTGTCTTCATGGTAACTGGGTATTTGTTTTAGAACATCAGGAAGATTTTTCTTCTTATCCCTCAGAAATACATCATAACTTGCTCCCTTATGCCTGAAATTCTCTCTCGAGATAGGAAAATTGTATCTTTTTCTCATTTTACATGAAGTTAACCGGAACACATTTTTCAATAGCATGTGTAGGATTTTGAGTTCTTGATTTTGGAAATTCGTCTTTATTTTGCACCTCATTAGGTTGCACTTGAAATTCTAGACTGAAGTTTATTATCCATCAAAATTTGGAAGGCATTTTTACCTTTGTTTTCAAAAACCTAGTTTTCCTTTTGAGAAGTCTATCATAGTCTGAATTTTTGTTTGTAACCTTTTTCTTTTCTTGGTCTGTTTGAAAATTTTTAGGTTTTTCAGTCTTGTGTTCTTAAATTTCCAAAGTTCATTGCTGTGGATCTTTTCTTTTTTAATGTTTATTTTTTTACATGGTAATAATCCCTTTGTGTTTGATAACTTGTGATCTTCAGTTTTGAGAGGAAGTATTTTGCTGTATTTATTTGCTAATGAGTGGGGATGTCCCTAAGTTCCTTGGCTTCCCTTGCATCTCAGCTGGTAAAGAATCTGCCTGCAATGCAGGAGACCTGGGTTCAATCTCTGGGTTGGGAAGATCCCCTGGAGAAGGGAAAGGCTACCCACTCCAGTATTCTGGCCTGGAGAATTCTATAGACCATAGTCCATGGGGTCGCAAAGAGTCGGATACAACTGAGCGACTTTCACTTTCATTTTCCCTAAGTTCCTGTATTTCTCTCAAGAAAGTAGAACATTTTCTGCCAAATCCAGCAGAGTTCTAGAGTTCCCATTCTCATTTCAAAAAGCCAAACAAAACTAGAAACTGGTAACATTAGTCTCTTGTGAAGGAAGAGACACAAGTGAGAAGGAAACTTACTTTTTATTTTACACCTCCTTGCATATTGAATTTTATATCACATCAGAAGTACAGAATTATAACACTGTCAGAGTAGGCTTAGAATCATGTAATCTTTATTTTAACTTTTGGTATTATTGATGCAGCTTAATGTAGTTTAAGCAGGCAACATGACCATTAATAGCTATAGATTCTTTCATAAAATCTTTCGCCGACACTTCTGAATCTTCCTGCAGATAAGTCTCCAAAAATATAAAACTATTTTTCTTTATCAACTATAAAAGAATGAAAAATAAGGCCGTTATTTAATAAGTGTTCTCTTTAGTTCCCCAAAACCTACATTAAACTCCTTGTGCATGTTCACTCCTTCTAGATTTTATAAGAAATACAGATTAGTAAGACCGCCACCCTGTGTTAATTCTCAAAACCTTGTGTAGAAGCAAGATAAGCGCACAAACTCAGCTGATAAAATAGTGGAAAACAGTGTTGGGGGCGTGTTGCTGTAAGCTCTTGGGTGGTCTCTGGAGAAGGTGGGATTGATCTTTTGCACATAGTCAGGACATTGGCCAAGTATGGGATCCTCGTCCTCTCTGGGTGGTCCTCAGTCTTCTCTGAGTGATGTGACATCTTCCTCTGGGTGCTGCTGAGTTGACAGAAAATGAGAATAGGACTCATCAGTCCTGTTGCAGAGAGTGAGTGGTACATTCTTCCAGAATGTCTTCCTGTATATTTTCAAACTGGAGGTGAAGTATTGTTCACCTCCTTTCCTCCCTGTTCCCAGTAGGCCCTCACTAGGCGCATTGGGTGCTGAGAGAGACCACTGCTTGCCTGCCCCTGGACAGTTGCTAAGGAGAGAAAGGCAGACTTACAAGTGAGGGTTGGAGACAGGCTCGGTGGTGGATGGGGAGGTGCCCCGCAGGCCATTCTGTCCTTCTCTGTGCCCATCCAGGCCTGGACTCATCTCTCCTCCCCCTCCTCATTCTGCTCTCTTTGAGGAGAGTAGACTTTCATGGTAGAAGTTGCCTTTTAATTCTTAAAAAGGGTTGGTTTATATCTGTTAAGTACTAGAAATTGAGGTATGGATAGTTGTTAAATTGAAGTAAATGGTAGAAACTTACAAAGAGGGCATCTAGGGCACCATTCTTAATTACATAATTCCCACTTTCATTAGCAATTTCAGCATTGTCTTACTGTTTTTTTCTGTTTTGTTTTGTCTCACTGTTTTCTAAGCAAACATTTACCTGAATACTTCAAATGTTTTTTTGCCCTTAGCACCTTGCTGCTGTGGAAGAGAGAAAGATCAAGTCTCTGGTAGCTCTCCTGGTTGAGACACAAATGAAGAAACTGGAGATTAAGCTTCGACATTTTGAAGAACTAGAAACTATCATGGACAGAGAGAAAGAAGCTGTAAGTAATGGGAATTTTATAGTGGCTTTTTGACAGTTAACTTGGATCACTTTTCATAAAATAGAAACTAAAGAAAATATGGTAACCTAATTTGTTGGTCTCCATCGCTATCATTTAACTTTTTCCGTATTTGCTTTGCCCTTTCAAAAGGATTATCAGTCAGTAATGGTAAATTAAAGGAAGTCTGAAAATAACTATCTAAACCTCAGTTTCTTACACTTCTTGGTTTTGCAGATACTTGAAGGTGTCAGATTCTCCCTTCTTCAGTAGTCAGATCTTAGACTTACTGTGTTACTTAGGTGTTATGTTCCCTCTCTTCTATGGAAAACCAGGTCTAGAGGAGTAATTGTAAGCAGCATTTTGGGGGGTATACATTTTTGATATGCCCCAAACAGGACCAAAAGAATTACGGCAAAGGCCAAGAATAAGAAGAGAAACCACAAGAAATAAGAAACATAGAAGCAGGGAAACATTTGATTATCTGAAGGAACTTTTTTTTTTTTTTTGAGAAACAGAGATGAAGTTCTCTGGAGAAGTTTTTTTTTTTTTTTTTTTTTTTTTTTGATGAGATGACCAGAAAAGTCATGAGTTGATGACTTTTCTAAATAATGGCTAAATTTGAGGATTTAGCACTTAGGAATTTTTCGGATTGTTTTGACTTCTTTGTGAGCATGCCATATGCTGGTATCTCTAAATGAGACAACCTGAAACCATTCCAGAAGAGTTTTAATCTTAAGGATCCATTTGCATCTGTTGAACTCTTTCCTTGTTGTCAGTCCAGGCAAGTCCTCTCTCAGATTCATGTTGACTAGCTCAGGAACTATCACAGTAGCCCATTTTCATTTTGTCCTAAGACCTGCCTACCTCTTACATTCTGGCCCTGTGAAGAATACGCTGCTTCCGTAACTATCCTGCCCACACCCTGTGCCCTCTTATCCCCAGTCCCGTAGCCCTGTAAGTATCTCTAATATCCCCTGCCCTCTCCTGTCCCAGGAGCTTCTGGCCACCCTGTCCCATCTGCGTCTCTGAGCACCAGCCATGCCGACGCACACCAGATGCAGGCTTCCATCATGGCTGTGTGCACCTGCTCTTCCACCAACAAGGTGTTTTTCCTGCTCTTTGCCAGCCTCCTGCACCTGTGGGTGACTTGTCCTCTGTGTCTGCTGCTGAGGCAGCCTAACAGAGCACTTATTGTATTGTAAATGCTAGTTCATGCACATGCCTCCCTTTCCAGAGTATATACTCTTTCTTGAATGTCTTGTTCACACACAACTGGCACATCATGGGTGCTTGTGTAAATGTCTGTCAAATGAATACATCAGTGTCAGAAGCTGGGAAAGTGGAAAAGAAAGTTTAACTTTGGGGACTTGACTTTAGTTTAACAGCGAAAACAGAGAACAGGTGACAGTATTGTGTGTTCAGTTCCTGTGGGAACATACGTGGAAGACGTGGAGAGGATGTTAGAGAAGACATCAGGAGGTGAGCTGGAACTTTGAAGAATGAGTGCATGTGTTTATCTTACCCTAAGAAGCTGCCCTTGTGTCATTTGATAGACTCTTACAGGGTATTTGGAATAACAGGGAGCAAATAGCTGTGAAAAGAAGAGAAGCGAAAAGCAAAGGAGAAAAGGAAAGATATACCCATCTGAATGCAGAGTTCCAGAGAATAGCCAGGAGAGATAAGAAAGCCTTCCTCAGCGATCAGTGCAAAGAAGTAGAGGAAAACAACAGAAAGGGAAAGACTAGAGATCTCTTCAAGAAAATTAGAGATACCAAGGGAACATTTCATGCAGAGATGGGTTCGATAAAGGACAGAAATGGTATGGACCTAACAGAAGCAAAAGATATTAAGAAGAGGTGGCAAGAATACACAGAAGAACTATACAAAAAAGATCTTCATGACCCAGATGATCACAATGTTGTGATCACTCACCTAGAGCCAGACATCCTGGAATGTGAAGTCAAGTGGGCCTTAGGAAGCATCGCTACGAACAAAGCTAGTGGATGTGATGGAATTCCAGCTGAGCTATTTCAAATCCTGAAAGATGATGCTGTGAAAGTGCTGCACTCAATATCCAGCAAATTTGGAAAACTCAGCAGTGGCCCCAGGACTGGAAAAGGTCAATTTTCATTCCAATCCCAAAGAAAGACAATGCCAAAGAATGCTCCCTAAGAAGGCAGTTAGGGAATATACAGAGGTTGTCTGGGAACCGACAAGATGAAAACTACTGACCCCAGTTAAGGTGAGGATGCTGAGCTGGCCCTGGGTTCAAAATTCAAGAGAGTCTGCCCGATTGTGCAGCCTTCCATGCCAAATGGATGGCACACGTCATTCAAGGGAACAGGTGACAGACATGGGCTCTGTTGCAGGTTGGAGAGAACTGGAGGGCCTGGGCCCTACCTACAGCATTCTTACTTGAATTCAAGGGGAGGAAATACTTGGAGGCCCATGAAGATCTGTGTCTTGATTTCATTTATGGCTTCTGGACTTGATGGCTCTCATTTGGCTAGGTACAGAAATCGTATACCTTCTGAAAGAGAGACACTGTAGGAAACTCAAACCTGTGAGAAACCTTCTGGAAGTGACGGTAGATGAGAAACTGACATAGAGATAGCACATGAGGTAAGGAGGCCAAGGGAGTTCAGAGGAGGCTGTGATGTAAAAATTCATGTTGGTAACACAGATTGTGAGATCAGAGTTGTTTCAGTCATGGCTTTCTCAGGCAAACATACCTGCTTATTTCTATGAGATTTAGAAATTCTGCCATTTGAGGAAGTCAGGTCAATTGACGTTAGTAACATTGAGAATCTTCTCAGGCTTCCAAGGGTTTTCCTATTTTTATTTCAGCTGAGCTGTGCACGCCTTGGCCAGAGAGTCTGCATCCCACTCTAGAAAGTACAGACTTTGGCTCTGGAGGCACCTGACACATTACCATAAAGTACCTATAAAAATCTTACAGGAAGGCTGTTACTAGAGCAGTATAGTACACCACACAGCCACACATATTACCTTCCAGGAAGGGAAGGAATATGGGGAGAGATGCTGCAATTAAAGGTACATTTTATGTTTTAATGATGTCAGCAGTTTGAAAGAATTGTGAGCTCAATTTTCAAGGTAGTTAAAATGCAGTAAATAGTTGCCAACTAGCTCAAGGTCATCCATGAGCTAAAAGATGGGACAAATTCAGGATTGCCTCCGATTGTCAAGGAGATCTTTCTGGTAGAGGAAGTACTGATCTGAGCTAGTTATTTTTTTTAAAAATGGTCCAAATCCAAAACTGTGAAGAGGAAGGTATGGTTGCTAAGGAAGCCAAGAGTCTCCTTAGACTACTTAGATCTACTGCCTAGATTTGGCAGTATTCATGGCATAGACAGTGGATTAAGTTCATTAGTTCATTTAGCGAACGTTTATGAACACCTACTTTGTTCTAGGCATGTTAGGTACTGGGGATACACTGGTGAATAAAACTGTTTGCCTTACTTACTAGACCTTAAATACTAATGAAGGATGATAGATGTTGTGTGCTGTATATCTGTATGCATGTGTGTTACCATTTGTTGGCATATTGAGTGCAGCACTTTTACAGCATCTTTCAGGATTTGAAATAGCTGAATTGGAATTCCATCACCTCCACTAGCTTTGTTCATACTGATGCTTTTTAAGGCCCATCTGACTTCACATTTGAGGATGTCTGGCTCTAGGTGAGTGATCACACCATCGTGATTATCTGAGACTGGAAAAGGTCAGTTTTCATGCCAGTCCCAAAGAAAGGCAATCCCAAAGAATGCTCAAACAACCGCACAACTGCACTCATCTCACACACTAGTAAAGTAATGCTCAAAATTCTCCAAGCCAGGCTTCAGCAATACATGAACCGTGAACTTCCAGATGTTCAAGCTGCTTTTGGAAAAGGCAGAGGAACCAGAGATCAAATTGCCAACATCCACTGGATCATCAAAATAGCAAGAGAGTTCCAGAAAAACATTTACTTCTGCTTTATTGACTATGCCAAAGTGTTTGACTGTGTGGATAACAATAAACTGTGGAAAGTTCTGAAAGAGATGGGCATACCAGACCACCTGACCCACCTCTTGAGAAACCTATATTCAGGTCAGGAAGCAGCAGTTAGAACTGGACATGGACCAACAGACTGGTTCCAAATAGGAAAAGGAGTACGTCAAGGCTGTTTATTGTCACCCTGCTTATTTAACTTCTATGCAGAGTACATCATGAGAAATGCTGGTCTGGAAGAAGCACAAGCTGGAATCAAGATTGCCAGGAGAAATATCAATAACCTCAGATATGCAGATGACACCACCCTTATGGCAGAGAGTGAAGAGGAACCAAAAAGCCTCTTGATGAAAGTGAAAGAGGAGAGTGAAAAAGTTGGCTTAAAGCTCAACATTCAGAAAACTAAGATCATGCCATCTGGTCCCATCACTTATGGCAAATAGATGGGGAAACAGTGGAAGCAGTGTCAAACTTTATTTTTTTTCTCCAAAATCACTGCAGATGGTGATTGCAGCCATGAAATTAAAAGACGCTTACTCCTGGGAAGGAAAGTTATGACCAAATTAGATAGCATATTAAAAAGCAGAGACCTTACTTTTCCAACAGAGGTCCATCTAGTCAAAGCTATGGTTTTTCCAGTGATCATGTATGGATGTGAGAGTTGGACTGTGAAGAAAGCTGAGCGCCGAAAAATTGATGCTTTTTAACTGTGGTGTTGGAGAAGACTCTTGAGAGTCCCTTGGACTGCAAGGAGATCCAACCAGTCCATCCTAAAGGAGATCAGTCCTTGGTGTTCATTGGAAGGACTGATGCTGAAGCTGAAACTCCAGTACTTTGGCCACCTCATGTGAAGAGTTGACTCATTGGAAAAGACCCTGATGCTGGGAGGGATTGGGGGCAGGAAGAGAAGGGGATGACAGAGGATGAGATGACTGGATGGCATCACCAACTCGATGGACATGAGTGGGATGGAGTGGGTTGCCATGCTCTCCCGGAGATCTTCCTGGCCCAGGGATCAAACCCAGATCTCCTGCTGCTACTGCATTGCAGGCAGTTTCTTCATACCTCTGAGCCCCTGGGGTAGCCCCCTTTCATGTTCGTACCGCCTGTCATGTAATTGAATCTGTTGGTAGACAGGCACCATGACATTATGAATGGTTTTATCTGAGATTAAGAAAGCTGTACTTAGAAGTGAGTTTACTTGACAAACGTAGGGCTTCAGGCAGCAGGCACTTAACTAGGACTTTACAGGTGACTGGTCACAAAAATGATGTTGGCTCCACTTTAGGATTTCCACCTCCAGAAGCAGGTGTGGAAGCAGAAAGATGCAGTTGTGCTGTTTTGTTTTTCCGGAGGTGTACAAAGGAATGATTATGCCCACTTTTTTCTTAAGTGAATTTCTGTTCATTGATATCAAACTTTTCAAAGGAAGGTGTGTTTATTTACTTCAGTTCTGAGGCCAAGTAGTCAGAGTCTTCAAGGCTCTGCCACTACCCTTGGCAGTATAAATGGATTTTTGAGGCCCCCACCTCCTTTTACTGTTTCCCACCCCTCCTCCCTGTTCTATGCAAATGAAGTTGGGAGAGAAGCTCTGTGTGAACTTCAGCTGCATTTGCAGCTGTGTGTGCGTTTGGGGTCTTGGTGTAGAAAAGTGCTCTGTTGTGTTCCGGTTCCGCTTGGATTTGCTGCTTTATACATACACAGTGTCTGAATGAAGAGGGAGAGAAAGGCAGAGTTTGAATGCCGTGGGGGTCGGGGGTGTCTTCAGATCAGAGCCACAGGCAGCTTTGTATGATACTGGGTTCCCTAAACCCAGATTGGAGCTGTGAAAGAAAGTGAACAAATTCATTAACTCCCTGTTTATAGGAGTAATCTACACTATTTGGCTTAGCTGTGGGAACTTATCTATAGTCTTTGATCATAGAAAAGGGGGAGAAGAAAGTCACTTTATCTGAAGCATGTAATTTGGTCAGTTTTAGTGTTCTGTTTTGTGATTACACAAACAATATGAAACATTAAAAAGTGACTTCAAATTTATTTCTAGAAATAATCACTGTTAATAATTTAGTGTCTTCCAGCACATTTTCAATGAGTAGATAATGTTTGTATGTGACCACAAAGTTTATATATATATATATATATATATATATATATATATATATACATATATATGTAATTGTTACAAATATTATTATTTGCAACTTGCTTTTTTTATACTCTGTATCTCAGACATAAATGTACATCAAAAAAATACATTAATGACTATCCTTATACAAACATACATACAGTTTTCTAGCACAGATTTCCACATGTAGAATCACTGGTTTATTGGTTTTGTGAATTTCAGATTTTCTCAGAACTGTCGTACTCTCCTCAGAAATCCACAGTTCACATTCACATTTGATTGCCACAAAAATGGCAGTTAGATTGAGTAACAGTGGTGGTGCTAGTGGTAAAGAACCCACCTGCCAATGCAGGTTAGACGTAAGAGATGAGAGTTTGATCCCTGGGATGGGAAAATCACCTTTAGGAGGGCACGACAACCCACTTCATTGTTCTTGCCTGGAGAATCCCATGAACAGAGGATCCTGGTGGGCTACAGTTCCTAGAGGCACATGGAGTCGGACACGACTGAAGCAACTTTAGCATGCAGGCAGCAATGGTCAGTTACTTGTAACAAAGAGAGATGCCTTTTGTATGGTGGGGCCAGTACGTGTCCCTCAACTCTGCTACATGCTCCCCAGAGCAGAGGTAGTCCTCCTGGAACCAGCTGGTAACCTGCCGTGGACATTGCTCTCACTTTACAGGACCTGTTCATTGCACGTTCAATCTAAAGCTTAAATTGGGTTCTTTTTTTTTTTTTTCCTGTTTTAAAACTTTTTCTTTCAGTTTTATTGCAAGACAACTGATGTAGAATATCATAAGTTAAGGTATACAACCTAATGATTGACAAAATTAGTTAACATTCTTCATCTCACATAAATACAAAAAAACTTTATCATGTGATGAGAACTGTTATTTTAAAAAGTTAATGTTGCTTAGTCACTCAGTCATATCTGACTCTTTGCGACCCCATGGACTGCAGCCCTCCAGGCTCCTCTGTCCATGGGATTTTCCAGGCAAGAACACTGGAGTGTGTTGCCATTTCCTTCCCCATTAAATTGGGTTCTTTCAGGTGTGTGTGTATGTGCATATCTATATTTAATCACATCCTTTTAATTCTTCTAATTATCTTTTAATAACTTTGTATGTTTTGAAGTGATAATTGAAGCTCATGAGAAAATAGTATAATTGAGTTTAGTTCATTTTAGACCAAGATTGGACTTCCCTGGTGGCTCAGATGGTAAAGCATCTGCCTACTATGCGGGAGACCCCGGTTCAATCCCTGGGTCAGGAAGATCTGGAGAAGGAAATGGCAACCCACTCCAGTATTCTTACCTGAAAAATCCCATGGATGGAGGAACCTAGCAGGCTACAGTCCATGGGGTTGCAAAGAATCAGATGACTGAGCGACTTCACTAGACAAGGAAGGTGGGGTAAGTTTTTCTCTCCAAGATTAATACTTTGATACTAAGGTCAGCTCCTAAAGAAAGGCTAGTTTGGCTTTAAAATAAACAAACACTGAGATAGGTAAAATTTCCTTTCAGAGACACACAATCTCCCACCAGTAACAGTTCAGCTTTTTATAAAGCAGATCTTGCCCTATATTCTAGAGTTCTTACATAACTGCAGGACTTCAGCAAAGCTGTCCAGAGCAATAATGGCTCAACAGGAACGTAGGTTGAGGTCCTTTTCTGGCAACCTTGTAAGTCTAACTTCAGGGTAGTGCTAAATTTCCTGGAAAGAATGGTTAGAAGAATGCAAAACCTAAGACTTATGGTCAGAGTCTTTAGATTTCTTTCTTTTTTTTTTTTATTTACCTTTTATCTACATTATCTCACTGATTAGTCATCTTGCAGAGCTGGACTTCTTGCAGAGGATTCTCTGGCTGTTGACATCTTACAGCTCCCTTCCAATTCTGAAAAGAAGGGTATGTTAAACTGAGCAGGCTGTAGCCTCTTCTGGTCACTGTTAGGAAGAGCTCCCACCAACCTGCTGGACCGTGGTAGCAGTGGCACCCTGTGTCCTCTCTCCTGATCACCCTCAGCCACTCACAGAATCGTTCGTTTCCGATCTCCACCTTCCAAGGGAGACTGCAAGCCAGCTAAACAACACACAGGGTATAAGTGTTGCCATCTGTTCTCCTCCTCACCTGAGCAGTCTGGTTGTCTTCATGCTGTGTCCACGGCCTGTCTTCCCACACCCAGTCCATCTGTGGATGTTCCCTCCTCGCTAACTCCTGACAGCCAGTGAAGCCTCTCACTAGGCTCCTCAGGGACTTCTCCCCAAGCTGCTCTCTGCTAAAAGCCCAGATTTGCAAGCAAATACTCATGCATATTCTACCTAGATTTTGCAAATGATAGTATGTAATATTTATCTATAAAACTGACTGCTCCTGAAAGCCAAAACGTTACATTTCCTTAACTTAACAAATGCTTGGAGTAGTGCTCTCCAACAGAAATATAGTGAGCCATATATGTAATTTGAAATTTTCTTGTAGCCACATTAAAAAACAACAATAAAATCATAGAGATGTTTTATTTAATGCAATATATGTATGTTCTTAACATGTAATCAGTATAAAAATTAATTTTTTCCAGATTTAAAAATTCAGTGCAGATGTTACATTGATAGTACATCTCCTTTCAGATTAGCCACATCTCAAGTGCCCAAGAGCCATTGTGGCTGCTATAGAAATGCCTCCCAGTGAATAAGATCTTGCTCTCGAAAATGGTGGGGTAGAACATTGTAGAGTAGAAATAGATCAAACCCTCCTTATGATCTTTATAATGCTTACTTCTAGAAACCTGGATTTTTAATTTTGTTCATGTTAAAGATGATTTTTCTCTGTCAGCTCTGGGTTTAAATTAATTTTGATAGCTTTTAAGGTGACCACCCATTCTGAGCTACTGTTTGGCATATGGTTTCTCAATTTTCTAGCACATATAATAACTTACTTCTCATGTATTTATAATAACATATGTATTATTTATAATAACTTAATTCTCTTATTTCTTTGTAATTTAATTTGGGTCCCAGAAAGATTATCTTGAATACTGAAATGCTTATATTCTTCAGACCACGAGTCATGTAAATTTTTGTTTAGACTTTGAAAATATGCTGTGAATGTGTCAGCCAGTATAATTTTGGCTACTTGGAAGCTAAGATTTACAGTGGCAGTTACAAAGTTCCATCTAGAAGCTGTGTATCTTTCCAGCTAAGGCCTCGTCCACTTGTGCAGAGGATTTAACTGTGATGTCACATTCTAAAATAGTAGCCAAAAAGGATCACTTTCAGAAGAGAGCACCGAAAATGGTTGGACTTGAAATACTAGTATCTTAAGGAACTATCAAGAGGACAAGAGATGCTTGTGTCACCTGAGAAAGAGTAAGGTGGTCGTGCAGGCTATTTTTTAAATATCTGAAGGCCTGCCAAACAGAGGAATTACCTGTGTCCTGAGTACAATTGCCCCACTTGGGGTGAAGGTTCCAAGGAAAGGCAAATCTTATACTTAACATAGAGAAAACTTGACCTCATGCTACTCAAGAAGCAGTGCGTTTTCTCTGACTCTGGTGGTTGCAGGAGAGGAGGTGACGATGTAATGGTGATGAGGTTTGAGGAACTTCAGCACCATGTAGATGTCCTGTGTTGGCATCCAATCCTGAAAGCCTCTCCTGGTGTCATTCCTCTTCCCCTTTCTTTTCTTAACAGTTAGAACAACAGAGGCAGCAGTTGCTTACGGAGCGCCAGAACTTCCACATGGAGCAGCTGAAATACGCTGAGTTGCGAGCCCGACAGCAAATGGAACAGCAGCAGCACGGGCCGAACCCTCAGCAGGCACACCAGCACTCAGGAGGACCCGGCCTGGCACCGCTGGGAGCAGCAGGACATCCCGGCATGATGCCTCATCAGCAGCCCCCTCCCTACCCTCTGATGCACCACCAGATGCCACCGCCTCACCCGCCCCAGCCAGGTGAGAGGAGTCTGCTCACAGATGCGGCTGGGCCCATCCTTGTGCTCGAAGCTTCAGGGGCTCAGACCTCGCTGTTGGGGACTTCTGACTGAGACTGTGCAGAATGTCCATCGTCTTCTAGGACGTGGTAGACAAGTGAATCTGGCTTTACAGCCCTCAGCACAGGAAGCCTGCTGGGTTCTCTTTCCAGGGTCCTGTTGGCATGATGCCTTTTTCTTGGATAGGTCAGCAGTATATCCCAAAGTTCCTTAAAAATTCATCCTTGGGTTGTCTACACTATTTTTTTAATTGACATTTCAAAGATAAACATGAAAAGAAAAGTACAGTGATCTCTTACCATGCATTTTCAGTGATCATCACCTTTCTGCCATTCTTAGCTTTTTGTTGTAGAAATCTTCTGTAGAAGAAAATAGAATAGCGTAATAAGCCCCCAAATACCTGCTGCACAGCTTCACTTCATGTGTTGAAGAAGTCTAGGTCTTGCGCCTGTGGCTGTGCCGGATCGTGCACTCCAGGTGCATGGTGTCTTTTCACATGGCCTTCTCCCCTCTTTCCCCCTCCCAGACATCTCCCATGAATAAACCACAGGATGGCGCTGGATATTTTTGCAGGTTCAGGGTCACTTTGGGGGTGCAGGCATTTTTCTTGTGATGTCCATTCTCTCTTGGTGACATTCAGGTTTGCCAGTGGTTTTGGTGTTCCTAAGTTCCCCATTGAATGACTCACCTAAGATTTCACCTGCCAATGAGAATTGCTTCCTAGATCAGTTATTTCATCAGGTGTTGCAGAATCGTAAGATTTCTGAATTTATTGTCCTTTCTGCCTTTATTTATATTCTACATTTGCTAGCAGTGATTCTTTTATTACAAAAGCTTGTCTTCACCAGTCATTTTGTTACCCTGAAAATCAATCCTTGCAAAAAAGCCTGGATAAATATTTCATTCTTTCCCTTTATTTATTAGTTACCTGAATAAGGAGTCCTCCCTCCTCCTCCAAGCCCCCCCCCCACTCCCTGCCCCCGCAAAGAGTCTCCAAAGGTGACCAATAAGGATTTTTCTGTTGTGTGTGTATGCTTTTAGTATTGTGAATTTGTATGTCCTTTGTTTATTTATGTTTTTCAGTGTTATGGACCTTACTCATTTTCATTCTGAAATTGTCCCATCTTTTAGTTTGTGGGTGCCCTTCAAGTTGGCAGCTTTTTATCACATTTTAACTACCTTGAAAGTTGAGCTCACAGTTCTTTCAAACTTAACTACTGACATCATTAAAACTTAAAATGTACCTTTAATTGCATTGTCTCTCCCCATATTCCTTCCCTTTCTGGAAGGTAATATGTGTGGCTGTGTGGTGTACTATACTGCTCTAGTAACAGTCTTCCTGTAAGATTTTTATAGGTACTTTATGGTAATGTGTCAGGTGCCTCCAGAGGCAAAGTCTATACTTTCTAGGGTAGGATGCAGGCTCTCTGGCTGAGGCGTGCAGAGCTCAGGTGAAATAAAAATAGGAAGACCCTTGGAAGCCTGAGAATATTCCCACTGTTACTAACGTCAATTGACCTGACTTCCTCAAATGGCAGAATTTCTAAATCTCATAGAAATAAGCAGGTATGTTTGCCTGAGGAAGCTATGACTGAAACAACTATGATCTGACAATTTATGTTACCAATATGAATTTTTACTTTACAGCCCCAAACATCTTTAGGCATTAGTTTTTATTGGCTTGACCCAAAAATGGGGCTTTCTCTCTCTCTTTCTCTCTCTCTCTCTCTCTTTCTTTCACACAACACACACAGATCACAGTTGTGAAATTTACTAGCATCATTAGACTTGCTGCTTGATCTGTATGACATTTGTGAAGATAGTTTAAGAAGTCTGCCAGTTTAATGACACAGGATTACTTTACTTCTCAGTCCTTCTGTCTGCTTGAGTGGGTCTTAAAATCTAATTTTCTAACACGTTAAAAGCTATGGATGCTTAACAGAATGATGATCCCAAAGAGATTTTTTTCTAACACAGATATTTTAAAATTTAATTCCTTAAACTCTTAGGATAAATGTTTAAGAGGAGGTTTGCTGTGGCATTTGTTCTTAATGGTATTGAAGCATCACCATCCGCAGTAACTATTCACAGAATTTCTCAGGAAGTTCTCTACCATCTGCATTTAGAAAAAGTATCCTTCTGCCTTTTTTTCTAAATTACATCCTGGTGAGAACAGGTGTTTGTATGCCAGGCCCTTTACCCACAGTATTTTTACTTACTTCTCACTGTCCTCCCTTTAGAAGTGAAGAACTAATGCATGTCAAGGCTATGTTGCCTTGCCGCATGGTGGAGCCAGGCTTCTTGCCGGACTCCCTCTTATTCCAAAGTGATATCACGATACCCCTTCCTGTGATGGAGGACCAAGGGGATTGATAGCAGCCTCAGATATAGCTATATTCTTTCATGGAGACAGTGGTGAAAACCCAGAGTTTGTAAGATAGCCTGTAGAATACAAATAGGTTATGTTTCTCTTTTTACTTAGAGAAATAGGCTTTTCTTAAGTGAATTTTGAAGAAAAGGATCGTTACGTGTATAGTGAGAGTGTTTTTGTGCCAAGCTAGTCTCTTTTTGCCATCCGGTATTTGAGAGCTTAGTTCCCCAACCAGGGATCGCACCCACACCCCCTGCAGTGGAAGTGCAGAGTCTTAATCACTGGACTGCCAAGAAAGTCCCTGTTTTCTTGAAAATTTTTTTATTGAAATGTAACATACATATGAAAAAATACACTAGCCCTAGTAAATACTTGATGATTTTTAACAAAGAGAACATACCTGTGTAACCAACACTCAGAAGAACCCTCATGGCTTTTTTCGATCTCCTCCTTCCCCCAGGGTAGCAACTGTCCCAAAGTCCAACACCATAGATTCTTTGGGCTGGCTTTGAATGATATCTGGATGGGATCTCCTGCTGATTTTTGTCCTTTTGGCTTCTTTCAGTCGATACTGTGTATGTGAGATGCATCTGCCTTGTCGTGACTGGTCATAGATTTGCTCTTTCTTCTTACTTTGTGTGTTCCACTGTGTGGCTCTGCCATGATTTATTATATACTGTGACCCATTCTCCTGTTGATGGATGCTCGATTCTTTTCCATTTTAGTTACTAGAAATAGCTATTGCTACTGTGACCATGGACGTGCGCCTGTCTTACCGGGGCGTTGGTGTGCATTTCTGTTGTGTGTGCCCTTAAGCAGTGAAATTTGTCATGTGCCTCGAATGAGTCTAAGGAAATCCATGTATTCATATTAGTTGATGCTGCCAAACTTTTGTCAAAATGGTAATGCCAGGTTTATATTCTCTCCCGTAGGTTACAGGAGTTCCAGCAGCTCAAGGTGATCATTTCCCATAGTTTCCCCTTTTGTGGGGTTGCTTTGGAGTTTGAATATAAAAATCAGATGTGTTGGAAAGTAAAATTATGAATAATAAATTGAACCCACTAATTAAAAGCTTGCTTAATATTAGCAGTTCAGAAAAGACTGGTTTTAACAGCTAAGTCTGGTACACCAGATTCTAGAAATTGGCTAAAGGGGCATTTTATATTAAGGCAAGCGAGGGAGTCTGTAATATTTTAGGTGGAGAACAACTTTAGTCTCTTATTTGCCACAGGTGTAAGTTCGTAACTGTGGAGTCCTTCCAACTAATATTTCCTAGGTTTAGAAAAGTTAGCAGGCCACAGCATTTATGTTACAAGCTGGGGGTAATTATCCAGGTCAGTAGACTAGCTTTGGTATTTGGCCAGAATTTATGGTATGTGAAGGAAGGAGAAAAATCAGCCTCTAAAAGCCAGCCAGGTTGGGAAAGTAGTGAAAGAAGGTCAAGTGGTGAATTTGTCCAGCTCTCTGACTTCATAGAGTTTATATTATTTTGTAGATAAAACACGTGTAATCTTTCTCCACATAATTGGCCATCAGTTCATGGTAGAACTCATTAAAATATGGCTCCATGTTGTGAGACTGTCGAGCCCTTTTGGGCCCAGGCACCAGAGGGGCTAGTATAAATCAACACCTGTAAATATTCCGTTTAGTCTGTACCTTTGCAGTCCTTCCATCCACCCCTTTAATTCATTCACATGTGTAGAATTTTTGTATATAGAGTACATCTGTTTGCTCCTATCTGTCTTCTTGAACTCTTACTATTTGGTCTTACTCCTAATTCACCTGCGAACTCTAGCTTTTTGTAGGTTTTGTTCTTATCCCTGATGAAGTGTCCAAAGGTGATGTGTTTTCATCAAACAAAAAGTCAAAGGAAGAATCTCCAGTGTACAGTTGGCAGATGGAAACTGGAGGTGCCCATAGCCGTCCTTATACCACCCTTAGGTTTTGTTGCTCTTCATAAAATACACAGCACTGCATTTTGTCTTTTCATTTAAATTGAAACACAGTGTGATCTCATGGAACTGATTTGTAAATTAAAGCCATAACTATTTCTTCCTGCACGACTGCCTTTCCAAATTGGCACAGATGAAAGAGTCATGGCAGCCACCAGTTCTTGAGCACATGCTTGCCCACAGCCTGGCCCATTGTATTCATGACAGCACATGGGTGGCCAAGGACCATGGCGGGGTAGTGGCTGCTCTTCCCTGGGGTGTTCTGGAGTGTGATCAAGGAGGATACCTGTGACTGCAGGTTGTCTCCCCCAGGGGCCTTGGCACCTACAGTCATCCCTCAGTTTCCACCAGGGATTGGTTCAGGACCCCCAGTTGGGGGTGCATGAGTATCCATAGATGCCCACGTCTCTTAACTAAAATGATACTGAACAGTGAATACAGTCGGCCCTCCATACCCACGGATGCAGATCCTATGGATACGGAGGAACAGAGGGCCAAGTGTATTTTAGGGAGATTGTCTAAAAATCTAGGATGTGAGTGCAGTGTAAGCTCTGCCTTCCCCTTGGGCTTTTAATAGTAAATGAGGCGCTCTTGAGTATTCATGCCTCGCGGATCTGGAGTGAGCCGCCTGCACTGGGG